TCACCAAATCGGTGGGAACGTGTCAAAGGTGCGAACACAGGCAGGAGCTCGGGAAGGGAGCGAGGAGGCCGCAGCCTTCGTCGTGTTTGCAGCCTCGCCCCGAGCGACAGAGTTCTGTGGGGAAACAAGTTTATTTCTGGGGAATCCTCAAAGTTAATTTTTCGTTTCCCCAACTTCACCATTCCGTCTTTTAACGTAAAATTTACCCTTTCGCCCTCAGAGGTGCTGCGTTTCCAGCAGAGACCATGACAGAGTATTGTGATCACAACACTGTTCTTTGGTCCCTGTGACATCTTTGTTCCCTGACTTGAGGAGCGTGGGGCGGGCTGTCTCAGACAGGCTCTGTCCCCCTGGGCTCTCCTTCTGGACTGGGTTCTGTGCGATTCTTAGTGCTCAGTCCTTACAGAGTGGAGCTGAGGCCTTGCGGTCCTGCCTCCTGGATCCACCCTGGTCCCATTGATGTTTCCTGTGGTTGGAAGGCGCGATGTGAAGAGGGGACGCGCTGTCTGTCTGTCATTCCGTCTGGCGTCCCCGGAACTGCGTGGGGCTCTCTCCTGCCCTGTCTGCCGGTTCCGGTCCCTCTGCCATTGCTTCTGTTCTGCTTTTGTTACACACTTCAGAGGTGTGTGTCACAGGGAGGTGGGTAGGGCCTTCTGTACCAGTTTCTCGGTTCATCTCTAGAGACAGTGGACAGAGGGAGCGTCCCCTAGGTCCCCAGTCCTACATGGGGAGTGCATTTCAGTGTTCCAGGCTTGTAGCGCGGTGTCTGTGGTGGCACGCACGGTCCCCTCTCGATCCTGCGGGGTCTGACCCCATTCCTTGTACTTTTCTCTCTCTGCACGACGCTGCCTCGTTTGGGATATAGACTCTTCCAGATTTCACGGTCTCTGTAGTTTGCATGGTTTCCCTTGAACCTTGCCCGTGAATGACACATTCCTGGGGCCTGATAGTTCACTGTGTTCTTTCACTGGTGTCAACCACCTTTAGGAGATGGACACCCCCAGGTGGACTCGCCTATGGAAATCTTGATGGAGATACTTTGACTCATAGGTTGCAACATTCTGTTTGGCACAGATGCAGCACTGGAAGCTGCCCGGTAGACTGGGCAGCATGGCCCAGCATAGAAAGTGTCTCGGCAGCCAGACCGATAAGTGTTTTCAGTTTCCTTTTTCCGTTTTGATTAGTGTCAGTAAGCATCTCTCCAGGACATTGTGATCATGTGGATCACGTGCGCACATGCGCTAAACGGTAGAATTTCTCCTCCGAGAACATTGTCCAAGGTCGCAGCTTTCTACCCTTAAGGCTACCGACTAAACTGTCATTCATGCCACAGTTCTCACACCTCGTGTGTGCCGTTGTGCACGCTGCCTCAGCAGGTACAACTTGAAGCATCTTGTCGAGGGAGCTTGTAAAGTTGAATGGTGCCTCAGAGAAGTCACTGTATTTGTTTTTGTTCAAGCTGCTGCTACTTTTATCTTGCACATTCTCTTGCATTATATGAACTTGGTTTTTATTTAGTCATCACTTTCACATTTTTGATGATACTCTGTTTTGTAATTGCTATGTGTGGGAGGATGGAATTGTGGAATGGACATTGATATAAGTATTTCCTCCTTTAGTGTGGTGAGTTTGGCTCACCAGTTGTTTCTCTAAATCCTAAAATTGTTTTAGAATATTTTAAAAAAATAGTCTTTCTGCTTTTTCACCTGATTTAGTACGTCATATTAAGTTACTCTTATCAGTTGGATTTATTGTAAGTTTGAAATTGGTAATTTCTAATATCTTGGTAATACATATATTTTTATGTCTCTTAATTCTAGAAATAGCATTGTTGACTCGTCATAGTTTGTTATATAAGATATTGCTTTTTCTGTAGTGTTTTCATTTTTCTATCCACAATTATATTGAGTGGTGGGTAAGTTTCCCACAAATGTAATTGCTGGATCTGTCTGTTCTCACTCCTAGAACAGAGAACCCAAGTGGGTGGCGTATTAACAACAGAAAAGTATTTCTCCCTGTTCTGGAGACCGGAAGTCTGAGATTGGGCCCAACATGGTCAAGTTGGGAGGAAGACCCTCTTCCCCATTGCAGGTGGCTGACTTCTTGTCCTCTCATAGGGCAGAAGGAATGTTGGTCTCTGGTCTCTCTGGAGGGCACTGATGCTCCTCCCACAGGCTCACTGTTGTCATTTGGAGGATTTCAGCATCGGAATTCTAGAGGGACACATTTAGTCTATAACAGATTTTCAAGGAGTTGCCCTACTGGATTCCATAGTGGCTACGGCATTTTTCTTTCCTGGCAGCAGTCCCAGTTTTTAAAATCTAACACCCATCATTTCCTGCTTTTTTGGTAGTAGCCATCGTGTGCTCACTTTGGCTGCCCATGTACTAAAATTGATACTAGCCCTCGTAATGGGTGCGAGGTGATACCTCATCATGCTTGAGATGTGCATTCCCTGATTAGTGATACTGGTCATCTCTTCATGTGTTTGTACATCATCGCTAGAGAAATGTTCGTTCACATTCTTTGCCCAATATTTAATCAGGACGTGTGGGGTTGTTCGTGTTGAGGTCTGGAAGTTTATGTTACTGTGATTTATCATAAATATGTGGTATATGTGTTGTCCAGTTTTATACTGCCCGGTATATTGCTTATTCTCTAGGTAATGTCATTTTGGATTATTTGCCATTACATATATTGTCTCTAGCATTTATGTCCAGTGTGTATGTAAAAATAGATATGCGACATTTTTACTCAGTTATGAGATAGCGGTATGGTTACTGTTAATTGTTACGTGATTTGGAATCGTGGGAAATACCTTTTCCTTGAAAGCTAACATAAATTGTGACAGTGTGTTTTATCATAGGGTGTTTGAAATCAGGCTATCCTGATACTAATTTGAATTGCATGTGACCACTATTTCATTGGTCAGTAATCCATTTCATTATTATTTTGGAAGTTTGAGGATCCTGCTTTGGGACTTGCATAAATGTATTCAGTAAAACTTTACTTTTGGTGTAATGTTAGTATTCAACATGAAACATTTAGCAGTTAATACTATAATTATAATTTTTTATATCTTATAGATACCTGTTCTTCATATATGATCGAGAAATTAAAACCAACAGAAATCATTAATGCAGGCGGAATATTCCAAACAGAGTTGTTTGGACACTGTGAAAGCCATGTAATCAAAGATTTTTACATGAGGAATATTCGGGAAGATAGGCATGACTTTGCATGTCAGCAGAGAAATGATGAAAAGAATCACAAAGGAATACCTGTAACTTATGAAGAACATCTCACTGATAAAAGAGGTCAACACGATAGAGAGCATGGCGGACACAAGCCTGTCGAAAACAAAGTTGGACTAAGGTTTCACTCACATCTGGCAGATACGGACATATTTCAGACTGAAGGGAAGATTGATGAATATGTCTCAACGAAGAAGTCTTTCAACAATACTTCCTCCGTTTCTCCACTTCAAAGAGTTTTTTGTAGTGTCCAAGCCAACGTTTGTACCATATATGGGATTGATTCTAGACATCCTTCAATACTGACAAAAGACCTAAAAGCATGCAGGGAAGATTCATACAAATGTAACGAGCATGGCAAAGACTTTTGTGTGTGTGCGAGGCAAACTAGCCATCAGATAATTCATATTGAAGAGAAACCTTACAAATGTAATGAGTGTGGCAAAGCCTTTAGGGTGCGTTCAAGCCTTAATTACCATCAGTCAGTCCATACTGGAAAGAGACCTTACAAATGTAGTGATTGTGGGAAAGCCTTTAGGGGGTCTTCTAGCCTCACTTACCATCAGGTAATGCACAGTGGAGAAAAACCTTACAAATGTAATGAGTGTGGCAAGGCTTTCCGCAAAAAATCACACCTTGCTAGCCATATGAGCATTCATACAGGAGAGAAACCTTACAAATGTAATGAGTGTGGCAAAGCCTTTAGAGTGTCTTCTAGCCTTACTTACCATCAGTCGATTCATACTGGAAGTACGCCTTACAGATTTAGTGAATGTGACAAAGCCATTATTGTACATAGAATCCTAAATTACCATCAGGCAATTCATTGTGAAGACAAACCTTACAAATGTAATGAGTGTGACAAGGTTTTCAGTAACAAATATAACCATGCTCGTCATCAAAGTATTCATACTGGCGAAAGACCTTACAAATGTAATGTATGTGGCAAGGATTTTCGTAATAGATTATACCTTTCAAGTCATCAGAGAATCCATACTGGAGAGAAACCTTACAAATGTAATGAGTGTGGCAAGGTTTTTCGTAACAAATCACACCTTTCAAGTCATCAGAGAATCCATACTGGAGAGAAACCTTACAAATGCAGTGAGTGTGGCAAGGTTTTCAGTAACAAATCCAACTATGCACGTCATCGAAGCCTTCATACTGGTGAAAGACGTTACAAATGTAATGAATGTGACAAGGTCTTTATTCAGACATCGCACCTTGCATATCATCAGAGAATTCACACAGGAGACAAACCATACAAATGTAATGAGTGTGGCATGGTCTTTACTATGCGTTCTTCACTAATTAGCCATCAGTTAATTCATACTGGAGAAAAGCCTTACAAATGTAATGTGTGTGGCAAGGTTTTCTGTAAGAAACCATACCTTGCAAGTCATCAGAGAATCCATACTGGAGAGAAACCTTACAAATGCACTGTGTGTGGAAAAGCCTTTACTATGCGTTCACGCCTTACTAGACATCAAGTAATTCATAGCGGAGAGAAACCTTACAAATGTAATGAGTGTGGAAAGGTCTTTAGTCAGAAGTCATACCTTGCATGTCATCAGAGAATTCATACGGGAGACAAACCATACAAATGTAATGAGTGTGGAAAGGTCTTTAGTGCTCGTTTTACCCTCAATAGCCATCAGTTAATTCATACTGGAGAGAAACCTTACATATGTAATGTGTGTGGCAAGGTCTTCCGTAATAAATCATACCTTGCAAGTCATCAGAGAATCCATACTGGAGAGAAACCTTACAAATGTAATGAGTGTGGCAAGATGTTTAGTCAGAAATTAACGCTTTCTCAGCATCAGAGTATACATACTGGAGAGAAACCTTACAAATGTAACCAGTGTGGAAAAGCCTTTATCGTGCGTTCACGCCTAACTCGGCATCAGATAACTCATACTGGATAGAATACTTAGAAATGCAACGTGTAGCAGGGTTTTCCATTACAAATCAGCTTGCAAGTCATCAGAGAACCTATACAAGGGAAAGAACCCTTACAAATGTAATGTGTGGCAAGATTTTTCATAATCACATCTTGCATGTCATTTTAAAGTCTATACTGGCGAGAAACCCTTTAGTGTAAGTTCAAGCCTAAGTTATATTCAGAAATGTACTGGATGTGGCAGGATTTTTAGGTACTATTTTAACCTCAGGATTCACCAAAGAATTTATACTTGCAAATACCCTGAATATGGAAAATTTTAAAATTTGAACTCTTTACTAGCTATAAGAATATACTTTTTTTTTTCTTTTTTTGTGAGAAACTAAAATGCGGCGGTGTTTTCACCCAAGGTCCACAATTGGAAAAAAAACTGGTGCAATTTCTTAAAACTGAAACGTGTGGCAAAGCCATTAGAGTTTAAGTATTATGTGAGAATCCAGACTCCATAGTGAAGAGGAGTTATGTAAATGTATGTGGCAAAACATGTATCCAGGCTTCACAACTGACATCAGAATTTTTGTCTTTGAGAAAGCATGCAAAAAATGTTAATTCTTTTACTCAAAGATCAAAACTTAGACATCAGAAGATATGTCTTGGAGAGTAACCTTACAAATAGTGACTGTCAAGGCTTTCCATCAACTGCCTACACCTTCAGAATGACAATTCAGTGAGGGCAGAAACTATACTAGTATAGTGAACATGGAAATACTTCTAAGCAACAGTGTGTCCTCAGGATTCACCCAAGGATTTACACAAATGTAATGAGCTTAGAAAAAATTTTAACCAGTTCTCATAACCACACAGTCGAGAGTCCATACTGGGAATACCTGTATCTCCAGTTCTCTGAGATTAACCTATAATATTACATACTGCAGAAAATTACAAGTCAAAAGTATGTTAAAACTCAGGAGATGCCATATATCGAAGGAACAAACAGGTCATTGTTTTTAATGTTTTATAGTATTTTGTTATTTGAGTTTTCTTGAAAAGACTACTTGACTGTCAGTTTTAACCTGAAGTCTAAAGTCCGTTGAACTTAAGCCTTTCTTACAGGTCTTTTGTACAGATCTCTGGGAAGCAATAGGATGAAAGGGCCTACTTCATTGGGCATGGTTCATTCATATCCCTGTCCTCTGGAAAAACAAAAATAATATCAAATTCATTAATGCATCAGGGAAGACTGTAATGGAAAGCTATTCTAAGTCTTCATACTGAATTATGCACATGATGCTCATCTCTCGACAGGCCATAGTCATAGGAAAGAAGGCTCTACCAACTGACCACGAAACAGCAGGTCCGGACATAAAGGGCCTGGGCTTGTGGTGGGAGGGGAGTGATTAGGTGACTAGGGGGTGATTCTATGGTAGAAATAATGCAGAAAAAATAGAGTTGACTTTCTCTATTGAATGGTGGTAATTGTTGCATATTAAAAATTAATGGAAATTTTGTCTGATTCTTGGAAATCGTAGAGAGAGCAGGTACCTGAGAGGGGAGCTTCATCCAAAGAATCAATAGTTTTTGCTTGTGTATGGTTAACACTGGCATTATCTTTTGCCAGTTTTATTGGGAATGTATCTGAGGGTTCATGTTTTATTGAATAAAATTTAACTTTTTAAAAGAGTGAATCATGTTCCTTGTACCAACAGTCATTTCCTACCTTTATAAGGTACTTTTATGACATAAATGAGCAATGCACCATTGGGCTGCCAAGGTCATAGAAATCTATAACAATTTCCATCCGTTATGGGGTCAAAGAACAACGAATTTGGTGGTTATATAGTCAGTGTGTCCCTGGGTTATTTTCTCCACACTGCCACGTGACATTTATGAGACTATCATCAATATAGCAGTGCGATTTTATGACTGACCTCCCAAAACTGCCTGACTTTCATGTATATACACCATATGGTTAACTTAATGTCTTTTTTTTTGTACAGAAATACAACCCATGACTCTGTCCTTATTTACATGAAAAACAAACGTAATATGGAACAATTAGGAAATCGAAATTTAAGGAAGTAAGGATGAAAAAATCTGATTTTGATCTTGGAGCACTCAGTGAAATAATTTAGGTAAATGATATACAATGGGAACATTTTGTTTGGGACAGTAAAAATTTCATATATTTACTCCCAGAACTTTTTTTTTTTTTTTTTGGTTAAACTTTCGAAGCAAGATAGAACTCTGTCCAAAGTTTGGGTTTTGGATATTAAGACTGGTGGCGCCATACTCTAGAGTGTTAAGAGATTACTTGTTATATAAAAAGCTGTTTCTGAAAGTTCTGTCACAGCCTCTGACATCAGGCAAATCACAGAACTAAAGGTCAGTTTAATCTGAAACTAAGTGCTACAGAAATAAACCGTGAACCACAATTGTCAGTAAGCATCAGCAGTATTTTAGCAGTGTTTAGTGCAGTGTTTAGGCCTTGTTTTCTCATGCTCTCAACCCACTTGTTAGGAAATCTCCATACCCCATGCCTTTGCCACTAGACTCATTTCTACCCTGCAGGAATTTTTTGTGAGGTGAGCACTTCAGTGCCCAGGGAGCAGAGCAGAAACGGGACAGCAGAGAAACAACAGTTGATTTTTACCAGTGGCTGTTGCAAAATGCGAGGCTGAGCTGCAGCCCCCAGCCCCCAACCCAGAGTGCCCCTCCCCCAAATATCCTCTGAGACCGATCACTGTGGAGCCCCAGGGGAATCAGTAAATGCTATTGAAACTTGCTAACACTGACAGGGACTGAGACCGAAGGTAGTGAGCATGATTAAACATCTATAAGAAAAAAAGTCATTATAAAGACTACATAAAGCAGGGATAAACAGGCTTAGATGCCACCTACTGGAAACCGAAAGAAATACCTTTGTAAAAAAAAAAGCAGACTACACTTCCATTAATGCCCAGGCAGAGAAATAGTCCATTAATCACCATGAACAACCAAGGTGACAAGAAAGAAAGAGGAAAATCTCTAGAAAATAAGCTTAAAGATGTAGAAATATGCAACTTGATGAAATCAAGGTATGAAATGAGTATTAGGAGAAAAACTAACAACAGAACCGTAAATATTCCCTCAGGCTAGATTAACCCTGTATACTTAACTATAACAATGAATCAAAATCATGGTAAATAGAAACAGAATGATGACAAGCGAAGATCTCTCCACACGACACCTAATATCTCACCCACAAAACCATCTACTCTTCAGAATTTTTTTTCTCTCAGAAGCATTTGATAAAGAACAAGTCAGAATCACGAAGTATTACGCTTCAGGGCGGGATTCACAGAAAAAGACAGACAGGTAACAGTCATCTCAGGGCATCTGTCTTGGCTCTGGACTCTCTCTGCCTCCCTGGACAGACTGACTTCCTTCAGAACCACAGCCTGGCTCCCTTTTGTTTTCATTTTCCACGTCTGCTTGTGGCTATTTCTATAAGTAACTGGTTTTCTGCAGAGGGGCTGTGAGAGACCCAGGCCCAGTCCTGGGTTCACCTCCGCCCAGGTGAAGGATGGCCAGTGTGGAGTTCAGGTGGGTACGCACTGCCAGCCTGAGGAGTCGCCTGGCCCGCCCAGTGCAATCAGTCATACATAAGCAGTTTCCCACATGGAGAGGCCTTCCAAGTTCACATCCCCACTGCCTCCCGTGTGCACTTGCGGGACACGTCCACGTGCGCCATTGCTTGGCTGCCCCTGACCTCCTGGCCTGCTCGGGGCTATTCCAGTGACCGGCCTGCAGAACAGGCAGCGGGCCAAGCCCATCAGGACTCCTGCTCCTAAGCTAGGCCTTCCGATTCCTCTGGGAGGTCGGGGGCATCATTTTTGTGTGTGTTTCCCCTTAAAAACAAATGACAATGCGATGCTCGAACCGCACAGGGGGCGAAGCGCACCAACCCGGAGCCCTCCCTCGGCTCGCTGGGACCATCTGTCCTCCTCTCCCTCTCCCGGAGGACCCTGACCGGGACCGCACTGAGGTCAGTCATCTTGACGGTCGCCAGACCAGAACTCGGACCAAGAGTTCCTCGTTTGGGGACCAGGAATGTGCATTTCTGCTAACATGGGCATCGAATATTGAAAGCAGCCTCTGGAGTGCGCTGAGCAGATGGTCCAGGAAAGAATAGTCAGGCCATGCCCCTTCCACCCCGTCCCTGTCACTGCCACCGTGCACGTGCTGCACCCCCAAACCCATCCTCCTCTGAGGACAGAGGTGACGGGTATCCGTACCCGGAGGCCGTATTTCTCTGTGCTGATCGCACTGTCCGTGAGGACACTCGGTCACCACCTAGGTTTCACGCCCGCTCCTGTCCATGTGTTGTGGGAACGGCGCCCCTCTACCTGACATCCTCGGTCTGATGTCACATCCGGTTTCCCACACCTTCTCTGCTCACAAATCACTAACCCCGAGAGACGGGGCTGCCGCCCCACACTTCCAGTGTGATGCGCAAGGAGCGCTGCTAAAAAGAACCACGCAGGCACATGATTTCCTGCCGCCAGAACCTGCTATGAGGACATTCTCCCCTCCCTAATGGCCCAGGCTCTTTGTTCTGCCGTCACATGGTAGGCGACACTTCTCAGAGCTCTTTCCTGCTCCCACCCACCACGCTAGGCAAGCCCCATCCACGACGCTGGAGTCGAATTCCATCTATGAACCAGAATCAGTTCGTTAATCGACAGAGTCTGTGCAGATCTGACTCCAGCCTGCTGCCTGAACATCCGGCGGCCCGCTCGCCACGTCAGGGATCATGTCCGTGGCTCAGCTCACACTGTCCAGGTGTCCCAAGCTGGACCGACAGCGTCACCAGATAATTCCATCTGCCCTCATTGGTCCTCGACCCACTTTTTGGCACTAATATCCTGTCTAACCCCAAGTGTCTCTCTGGACATCCTGCCACTCCTATCAATGAGCCATCCACCCACTGTCCTGAATCCACCTAGAGATTCTCAATGTTCAAGAACTTCTTGTCACATTTGAAGTTTCTTACAAAATGTCATTTCCACTGAGCGTCCTTTCCTGATGCAGCAAGCAAAAGGTTAACACTAGCGTTTTAAGAATGTGAGCCTTAAGCCTTTTACACAGCAGTAGCCAAAGATTGTTTCATAGTAAGTGCTCAGATTTATTGAAAGCATAGATGATTCAAAACTCCAAAGATGTACCTAAAAGTGCTTCAGATAAAATCACTTAATTGTTTCATAGTAAGTGCTCAGATTTATTGAAAGCACAGATGACTCAAACTCCAAAGACGTACCTAAAAGTGCTTCAAATAAAATCGCTTAACTTCAAGTATATAACGATATGATTTTTGAGTGGTATTCTGTAATAATTAATCGCTACAGTTGAAGTCTGTGTTTTCTATCATCTAAATTTAAACTTACAGTCACAATTTAATTAAGTGCCATGATAAACACTAAGGCAAAGGGGGAGGGAGAGAAATTAACGATGACTGCGGTGACGGGGAGATTAGAAAATGATTGACTGATGAAGTGATATTTGAGTAGACAGCTGAATAAAAGGAAAAGAACTAGCCCATTCTGGAGAAACAGATTTCCAAATTGGTGATAAATTTGAACAGCTCAGGAAAAAAGGGCTACTTCCTCCTCCTGGTGAAGTCAATGCCAGCCTATCATCCCTAGAAGACTTCGCCTACCAGAAAGCATGATACTTTGCATATCACTCAACAAATACTTATGTCTCAGAGTTAATTTTCCAAAACATATTATTATTTTGAGAGAAGAGTCAGCTAACTTCAAGAGATTTTACAGAAGGAACAAGGTACACTCTTCCATCAAGATGGATTCTGTACTCACCAGAGGAAGCTGGCTTGGAATCCAGGCAGAGGCAGGTGTCCCCGGGGCTGCAGACTGCCGCCTTCAGCTGGAAAATGCAGAGACCAGATTCTCCTTTGATGAGGGGAGAGCAGAAGACTCCATCAGTGGATCATGCAGAATGCCTTTCTCTCCCACTATTTTGACATGAATAGATTCTATAGAAACAGACCTTTCCGTGTGCCAAATTTTCAAACATCACTCAGAGACCACGTAATGTTAATCAATAGAAGAATGTCCAAAACGTATGTATAGAATTCACCACCTGGCCTTAAAAAGTTAGTGTTTTGTGCATCGACTTTTCAGGTAGTTATCAGTAAATTTCAGGTTATTTCAACAACCTTCTTATTTCTCTATGCTTTGTCCTAACTTAATGGCCCTTCCAGCACTTTACTGGGCTTCCTTGGAGCCCTCTTCTGAATTTTCCACCCTCCCCTGCATTTTCCAGTGGTGTTCAGATTCAATCCCTATGCTCAAACTCTTCCAAAAAAATCAAAGAGGAGGCAATACTTCCCAACTCATGAGGACAATATTAGCCTGATCCCAGGGGCACAGGGATGGTTCAACATTCACGAATTGATTAATGTGATACACCACATAAAGGAATTAAAAAACAAGAATCATATGATCATAGCAATAGATTCAGAAAAAGCCTTTGACAAGATACAGCATCCATTTATGAACAAAACACTTACCAAAATTGATACAGAAGGAAAGTACCTTAACATAATAAAGACCATCTATGACAATCCCTCAGCCAACATTATACTTAATGGTGAAAAACTAAAAACCTTCCCTCTAAGATCAGGAAC